AAACTGTATGGCCATGGCAGGCTTCTTGCTAACTGTTCTTAAAACTTAAATTAATCCATTTCCATAAATCTATACCTTGCCACGGTGCTCGTGGCTTACCAGCATCTTCACATGCTGCTTGTCATGGTGGCAGCTGGCAGTGACTCCTTCCGCCTTCCTGTTCTTTCTTTTCTCCTCTCTGTTAGTCCCACCTATACTTTCTGCCTAGCCACTGGCCAATCGGTGTTTTATTTATTGACCAATCAGAGTAATTTGACATACAGCAGTGATTGCTTGCAATCCCACAGCAGTGATTGCTTGCAGGGCCTTGGTGCAGTAGGGAGAGGCCTGGACTTGCCTAGGCTCAGTGTGCAGGGCTCTGCTGACTCCCCATGGGACACCTTGATTTGGGGGTTGTGGGGATGTGGGGTGGCTTGGGAGGGAGGGCTGGGGGTAGAAGGAGGGAGAAGACAAGATCTGTGGGTAGCATGTAGAGTGAGTAGAAAATTTCTTAATAAAGAAAAAAACCACCAGTGAATAAAAACAAATATTTTTGTGCCACCTCTTTACTCATTAGGAATAAAACAAGATGAGATTCATCCAACACCAACTTAATCTGCTTGAGTGCTGAAAATTTGGAAAAAGCATCAATGTAGTTGAAAAAAGAGAGAGAGAGAATAGACTTTCTGAGCATTCTGATTGATTGAAGGTTAAAAGGAAATGCGTCCTTTTCCTTTCCTTGGGCTTAAGTCCTGTGGGGATGTCTCAAGATCTTCAAATAGTTCCTTCCAAGGGAGAAAAATCCCAGTACTTATGACATGCCACCTCAGTGCCTGGGGACTCCCTGTCATCTCACTTTGGAAAAGTAGTTGGTGAGCTATGCAGATCACGAAGATTGGGTAATAAAACCCCACCACCATCAAGCTAAGGAAATCTATTGCTCACCTCTTCTATTAATAGAGTTGAGCTTCGATTTCACACTGCAAAAAGCAAAGATTTATTTTGCTTACTTGAATCTCAAAGCTTGAGTGGTCTCCGATTTGGGAAATGTAAATTCTGCCTCCCTTTAAACTAAATAATGCTTCTATTTATAACACTTGTCATAGCCCTTCCAAACCTTTATTCTCTTCTTCCACGGAAAGCGCTGTACTATTCCTCCTCTAATGTTTCTAGCAGAGTATGTTTAGATTTATTAGAAAATACGAAAAGTAAGAGCCAGTATCTCTGGGGTGCAGGATTGAGCCTGGAGAGCTGTTGCCCATTCCAGCCTTTTACAAATGAGAAGTGGGGGGAAAAATCCACCTTCTTCATTTGTAAATTCACATGGAACCATGCTTGTCATTGAGATGTTGATAGGCAATGCATGCTGTGAGTTTTGTTTAAAGGCAATTCCCATTTGTCAGGATGATCTTATTGTTTGGGCATCTATCATTTAGAAAACAAGGGGGGGTGACAAGACAGGCCAAATACCAGATAAGCAGGTAATAGACAACTCTGCTTCCAGTTTTTATGTGTGAAAGAATTTCTCTGTTGAGCCGGGAACAATTAAACACAAAATGAACATAACTAGCCATTGGGTGGCACTGTTGCTCCATTGAGGTCTTATTGAAAGAGCATTTTTCTTATATTAAAAAAGAAAAGAAAATGAAGAATGATTGTGCCTTAAAGAAATTAGCATTGTCTAAGTGAGAAAATTGGTTTTCCTCTGTTTCTTTGATTTTTTTTTGTGTACACTAAACATTTCTTGACCAAGGTATAACAATTCTATATTCAGCTGCTGATATTAGCTGTGTGACCAGTGCCACCTACCTTTTCCTGTTCATGATTTTGATTCCATAGCCAACCCAGTAAGGGAAATATTACAGGTTGGTTAACAATGCTTGGTATGGGAGTAGAATAGTGGGATGGTGACATACTGGATGCTCTTGCTTTGGCTTACATTTAGAACTTTAACCCCCACATGGTGGCTCATATCTATGCCCCCAGCAACTGAGAGGATGGGGCAAGATCACTGTGAGTTCAAGGCCATCCTGGGCTTTATGGTGAATTCCAGGCCAGCCTGTGTCAGTGTGAGACCTAGTCTCAAACAAACAGAAAGTAAAACAAAGCAAGAAAACCAAGCTCTAAATACTGTGGACTAACCATAAGTCTAAATTGTGTATTATCATGGGGGCTAGAATAGAAAAAATATGGCCAGAAGAGAAAGAAAAGTAATGATGGGTGATATGTTCAGATACAATATCGATGATGCATGTTGTTCAATTCTGATCATGAGAATATGACCAGAATTTAACATGTCATCCTTTCTTGCCTCACTCAATATAGGCCAGAGTTTTTAAAAAGATTACAAGAAACTGGTGTCATCCCCACTATGGCAAGAACGGATGAGAGTGACCGAAGCTAAAGGGATGAAGTCAATCAATGAAGTCTCATCAGTCTTTCTAAAACTCAAAGCCAGAATCACATATTCATCTTAGCGTTTTGAGCATTATGTCTATTTGATTTCTAACTTATTGTGGTTTTAAAATTATTATAGACCACATAAATATGTGACTCTTTGAATGTCTTTTTCTACCTCTTTACTTCTAGTAGTCTGTGACATTATTAAACATACTGTAGAGTTCCTTATCACCAAGGAAATAGGTATTAATTACTATTGATGAGGTGAATGTTTAAAGCCCACTGGTTGTACACATAAGCAACCAAAGAGGGCTACCTTTTACTTTATTAAACAATGCAATTCTGTTCCAAGCAGAATCTGTCTTGTGACTTGAGAAATACACCTTCTCTTCCATGGGATAGTGCTTAAATACACAGTGTTGGTAATGCCATTATGGCTTACTGACCCTTTCTTTGTGTGTCACTGCTCTAAATCTTTTATACATTTAACTTTTCCAGTAATATATGGGGTAATAATCTTATCCCCACTTACAAGATGATGAGACTTAAGTAGGAGCCGGTCTTCAACTAGGACAGGTTGATCCTCTGCGTTGGCTGATATCTTAGTTGCTTTTAAATGGAGCTCAGCCAAGGATATTCCCAAACAAAGAAGTCTTTCTCTGCTCACTTGCCCTCTTGTTTCTTGCCCCCCCGTTGTTTCTGAGGCAAGTAATAGAAACTAGAACACCCTTTCCTCATAACTACCCGTAGTTGAACTATTCCTTTAAATTATCCCACTCTTTTCTGTAAATGTTGGCCACAAAGAATTTAAGAACATCATTTGAGCAAAATCTTGATGCATAGACAGGGACAAAGAAAGGGTACAACAGAGGGACAAGGGAGAAGCTATACAAACAGGATTGGTGGGCTTTTCCACTCACTCAATTCTCATTATCTCAGGTTCCTTTTGTCCAATTAAGTTGCTACATAACTGTCTTTGCTTCACTGAACCTATAGATAAAAGCCAGACAGCTTCTTCTTTCTCCTTTGAATAGTCAGCTTGAAGACTCCCATGCTACATACAGTTTTTATTAAATACATCTATTATGCCATTTTATCTTCAGTTGTCTTTGATATGGGGTATCCATGATGACCCCAGTGATGGGTGAAGAAAGCCCCACCCATTCCTTCCCAACTCAGTGACTATCACTGAAATGTGTTTGCAACATTTGCTTAGAAAGGAGATTGAGCCAGTGTTGGAAGGAGAAAAGAATGGCTGTTGAAGCTGCACTCCATGTTGCAAATGAGTTCCATTTAACAAGGAACATGGTGGCCATGCTATTACAAGAAAGTGTCCTTGGGGGAGTCTTTAATTGCTTCTTCCTCTTTAAGTAGCATGTCATAGTATTCCCTCTACCTAAACATGTTTTGCTCCCTGGAGGCTTTCGGCAAATATAATATTCTATGACTCATTACATTTACATTGTCCTTCTAACGTCCTCTACAGGAGACTGCTTTGGCTGATCACCTGTCTCTGGCTCTGATCCAGGCACAACTAAAGTTGTGTGGGGGCCAGAGGAGGGCAAGGCTTTTGTTGAGTGACAGAAAACCAGTGAAGGTCTTTATGATAGACAGAATAATTCAACCAGCAGCCCCAAAGACATACATATTCTAATTGCCAGAGCCCATGAATCCTTTGCCATATATTCCAAAAGGAACTTTTCAAATATATTTATCCAAAGGATCCTGACATGAGATTACCTTGGATTAGTTGGTTAGGCCCTGCAATTATCACAAAGCACGCTTATAAAACATAAACATTGAGTCAAGGAGGAAAGGGAAAACAATGGGATGACAGGAAAGAGAGGAGGGGAGAGAGACAGAGAGACAGAGAGAAACAACAAGACAAACACAACCAGAGAGAGAGAGAGAGAGAGAGATTCAGAGAAGACACAGACAGAGAGAGATACACACAGAGATACACAGAGAGAAGCAGAGAGACAGACAGAAACACAGAAAGAGAACAGAAAGGCAGCGAGACAGAGACAGAGATAAAGTCAGAGATAAGAGTGGCAGAGAGACAAAGGCACATGGATAGAGAGACAGACAGACACGCATACAAGAGAGATCCAAGGGGCATGGGATTTGACTGGCTTAAAGGAGTTACAAAAGACAAGAAAATGTTCTCTCCAAGAACCTGAAAGAGGAATGTTGCTCTGAATGTGCATTTTGGACTGATCTCCAGATGTGTTCTCATAAGAGGTTTGCTATCTCAGTAATAAACTTATACAAGCTGGGCAGTGGTGGTAAATGCCTTTAGTCCTAGCGCTCACGAGGCAGAGGCAGGTAAGTTTCTGAGTTAGAGGCCAGTCTGGTCTATAGCATGAGTTCCAGGACAGCCAGGGCTGGGCTACAAAGAGAAACCCTGTTTCCAGGAAGGAGAGAGAGAGAGAGAGAGAGAGAGAGAGAGAGAGAGAGAGAGAGAGAGAGAGAGAATTTCCTACTGAAAAGGGAGAATTTGAACAATCTTTACAGGCAGAAGAGTATCATTAGATAATGTTGTCTTAGGCATGCAGTTTAGGCTATTATAATAAAATATTTAAGACTTGGTAATTTATTAACATTAGAAGTCAATTACTTACAGGTATGGGGGATTAGGCAGTTTAATACTAAGTGTGTGCAGATTCAGTATCTGGTGAGGACTTCCTTTCTATGGCAGAGACAGAGCCTTGCATCATATACTCACACCAAAGAAAGGTCAGGCAGGCTAGCTTATGCCTTTTTTATGAGCTCATCAACTTTCCTCACAGAGCCCTCATGACATAATTACTTCCCAAAGAACTTACCTCTTAAATACCTTTGCCTTGGCTACTTATGCTTCAACCTGTTAATTTTGAGGCAATGGACACAGATCTTAAAGCACATGTAGAAAAAGGCAGGGTGTTCCAGCCACAGTAACTCACAAATTCAAGGGCACACAGCCCCAAAGAAGCACCATAGTCCTGGAGTCTGTGTGTCCCAGCTTGCCTGCAGTAGATGAGCTCCGGCTTCATTCCTTGAAGCTCTGTAGAAAGAGGGGCCTCTGGTATCACTGCTAATCACCGACATGATGAGACCACCATCACCAATGCCAGACTTTCTGCCTCTGGACCACACGTGGACCTCATGAGTCTCCTGTGGACTTGCTCCATGCATTTCCCTTCCCACAGAGATCAAGAGGAAAAACCCATAACTATTTGCTACAGGAGAGGATGAAAGAGTCAGAGCACGGGTCACCATTAAAAATAAGAAAGTAACTTGAAAGAGATAAAACTACTTCTGCTACCTTAGAATTTTTAGCTACCATTAGGAAGTGAATGAGAAGAGAGCAAATTATCAATTGCAGATTGGACAAAGGAACATAAAGGAAATGCTTTTGACCCTATAAATGTGTCGTGGGCTTTTATCACATATATATATATATTATTATATTATTATATATAATATATATATATATATATTATCACATAAATATATATATTATAGCAGGGTAGAGAAAAGTAAAATTGGCAAGAGATTTCTTGGAAGGGAAAGCTTTGTACTCTTCTTGGAAACCTTTGTGATGTGCCAGCCTTCTTGAAAGAAAAACTAGTTTTGCGAGGCTGGAGGCAGATTAAAACAATAAAGATATGGTAAGAAGAGTTTTAAGTTTTGTGGTACGAACTTCTCTCCCTGATGCTATTCACCACTGAGGAAGATTCCAAATGCCTTATGCAGGGAAGAAACAGAACATGCATACCAGTAGAGCAAAAATCTGTGAATAACTAGGTTTTTATTATCTGCAATGCCCCCTCACCCCCACCCCGCACTAGCCAATTCATTGATTATGTGGAATAAAGTTGCTACAGAGTTCCAAGGAAGTCCGCTCATAGACAAGGCAAAGTCCGAGGTGAGTTGAGAAGTGAGTGAAGAATTTCCCTAGATTCTACCTTTAATTAACAGCAAACGAAAGCCTGGTAATCAAGATAAATGACATTTAGAAACAATGATTTAAAACTAATTAACGAAAAAAAACTCCACCAAACCACTGCAGAGCCCAATGAAAAATGAAAAGTCAGTAATGCAGATTCTTCTTTATTTTTAAGATGTTTATAGTTTCATCACTATTGATTCTGTACTAATTTTTAAAATATAGCCAGGTAAGCATTTATATATCCTGATTTTCCATGTTTCTACCCTTTTGTCTCTCAGAATATACTTATTTTCATTTTCTAATGTGTGCTGGAGTTTGCCTCCATGTGTGTATGTGTACCATGTGTGTGCAGTGCAGCACTGGTGGAGCCAGAAGTGGGCCTTGGATCCCCTGGCACTTGAGTTATAGATGATTGTGAGCTGCCACGTAGGTGCTGAGACTCAAACCTGGGTCCTCTGTAGGAGCAACAAAGTGCTCTTAACTGCTGAGTCATTCTCCAGCCTCCATTTTTCACTCTTCGGGTCATCTCTTTCTTGTCTTAAATATTAGAAGGAAAATCAAGAGTAAAATCGTATTCCTAAGGTTCCTCAATTTTCTACGTTTTATATACCAAGTTAACACATTAGGCATGAGCTGTTAGTCCCATATGTTGAAAGAACAGGACCCAGTGAGGAAAGAATCCTTGGTAGACAGGTCTCAGCCAGTATAGTGTTTCTTGACTCCTGGGTCTGTCTTCTCGTCACAGCTCTGGTAATCTCACTGCTGAGAGTTGCAACTTTCCTCACTTATTCACTTTTTTGTCTGCTTGGTTCCACTGAATTTGTGGATCCCATTTGTAGAAGGGGTTGAGAGTATTGACCTGTGTGGACTGCAGCCCTTCCTGCTTTGTGTTTGTTATTCAGATTCAAAATCAAAAGCAGGGGGGACATGCTGTCTTGTTACTTTGATAGTAGGAAAGTATTTCTAGATTAAAATGTCCAAAGGGAAGAACTCATCGTTTCTAGTAGCGTAACGATGACAATTAAAGTTTAATTTAGAATGCCTTTCTTTGGTAGTTTGTTTGCTTTTATATTTTTATTAGTAAAAATATGTATATCTACAAAAAATATAGTGTTCACCCACCATTGCAACATTATGACTCCCCAGAAAACTGTCCCTGTCACCTTCCACAGGCTGGGCTATAAACTAGTATGGAAGTCCCAACACAGTAGGGTGAGATGCAGGCTCTGTCAAAGTAACTTTGAACTCTGTTTCCAAGTAAAACTCCATGCTGAATGAGCCTCAGTCCTGCGGCCAGAGAAGGTGTCTATTTCTTCAGAATGAGATCAGATGAAGGCTAGTGTAGCTCAGTGGTAGAGCACTTCTGGAGGCCATGTGCAAGGCCCTGGATTTCATCTCTAGCGCTGCTACAGAAAGTAGCGTGGAGGTGGGGTATAGGTGCAGCAATAGGAAGCCAAGTGAACTGAGCTGGGTGGTTCTGCTGTCTGCCAGGCCCTTCCCCAGGGGACCCATGATAAGGATAGATGAGAATATAATACAGTCCTTAACTGTGGTAATGATAACATATCTGTTAATCATCTGTTTTCATTTGTTCACTCACATCTTTATTTATTTTTAATTAAAGATAGCAATTACACATACTTAACAAGTACATGAGATTTTGAACTATATATGCATCATTGGATAATTTCAAAGAACTAAATAATTACACATTACCTCACTTTTTTTTTCCTTATAGAGTGCACTTTACAATCTATTCTTGGGAATGGTCAGTAAGTAAAGGTACTTGCTGCTAAACCTGATAACCTATGTTTGGTTCCTGTATCCACAGGGTAGAAGGAGAGAATGAACAGACTATTGTAATTTGTCATTTGACTCTTACACATATGTAGTCCTCACATATGCCCACATAAAAGTAATCTTGTCTCAAAGATCTGAAAAAAATATTCTAAAATACAATGTTTTAATTTACATGAGCATTGAATTTTGGTAAACAATGTTGAGTTTGTTAATTATTTTGGGCAATTTTATTATTTATTACCACACACATCTAGTATTTCCACAAACTGATATCCTATATAGGAGTCAGTCAGTGAATGCAGAAGTAAACATTCGAAGGAGAAAAATGATTTTAATAGGACCAGATATATGTCAAACAGTTTATTTGTATTTGTGCATAATGAGGACACTCTAGAGAGCTTAACCTAATGGGCATATGATAATAAGGGATCTTTGAATTTTGCCCAGAAAGGCACACATGACATTCACAGAGACTAGTGAAGAGAGAACCCATCATTGCAACGTTATGACTGTATTTAGAAACTGACAAGGTAGTCATTCATCTAAGAGCTGAAGTGTGGAGACACTACACAGGAAAGATCAGGAGGACAGGACCAATCCTATGTCACCAGGCCCAAAACAAGAAACAGGAGAATGTGCCTGCAAAATAGAATCTGGCTTTGTGTGAAAATCATGGGCAATAAGGGGATGGCAAGATGGCAGATCCTTTCTAAAAGGAATCTATCTGTGTATCTGTGCCCAATGGCCTTAGGTCTAGGAAATGCAACTTGAAGTAGTTATAATATGTCTACTTTCACTTAAAGATTTACAGGACATGATTAACTACCCTGAGCTTAGCATTCGGCATGACTGGGACATCAGCTCTTTATTAACTGGTTGTGTCTTTGTCTAATCTCTCCAAAATAAAAGTGATGATGGTCCCTAACACAGTACACTGATGGGGATTAAATGAGATCATAGGTTTAAGCATCTCATCCTAGGGCAGCCACAGTCATATTTTAAAACTAAACCACATCGTATCATTTACTCAGCAGCCATGACTGACTCAGAACTGCACCCTGCCTGCTGACATCACCTGAGAGTTATTTCTCATTTTTGTAGTAATTGGCTAATTCCTATAATAAAACCCTTTTTTTTTCCTTAAGAGGAAACTAGTTTTTCCTCCTAAGTTTTCTTACTTTATTTATATAGGCCTTCCCTGACTGCTAACTCAAATATGGTATCTGTTCACCTGTAATGACCTAGTCCACTGCCATGAAGGTACGACTGCAAAATAGTGGCCATAGGCTCATGTATTTGAGCACAAGACCCAGAGTTAGTGACATTATCTTAAAATGCTGTTGAAATTTAGGAAGATCCTCATTAAAGGAAGTAGGTCACTTGAGTTTGGCCATGAGGTTTTATAACCTGACCTCACTTCCTATCTACCTGCTGCTTCCCGACTGCAGACCCAAAGTAAGCAGCCTCCTCAAACTCCTGCCAGCATGTCTTCTCCATCATGATGGACTATTATCTTTAAACCACAGTTCAAAGTAAACCCTCCTGCCTTCAGCTGCTTTGGTCACGTATTTTGTTACAGCAATTAGAAAAGTAATAAACACAGTAACACTATATAATTTTCTCCACAGCATCTGCCACTTTATAGAATTGTTAATCCTATTCTTAATGTTTTTCTGACACCATCCACCCCACTGATGTCAGTGAGGATGCAGGCTCTGCGTGAGGTAGAACATCACTTGGGACAACTGTTTTATTTATTGTGGAACACTCAATATTTAGTATAGTACATCTCATGATGGGTACTCAGTCATGTTTTAAACAATGAACTGATCAGCACAATGCCTATTGTCCTGTGGAGGTTAGCTCTTGTTTGAACACGTGTTTGATACACATGTTCAATGTTGGCAATATTCCATACACAAATGAGATGGGGAATTTAGTCTTGTGAGAGCTGACATAGGGGCTTACTGTGATTCTTCT